TTTTTTAGCTTCTTATTTGCAACATAGTACATAGTTGCTTAGAGTTGCAACTCAGAGGCCGGCAAGTGTTGGAGTCTGCAGTCACTGAAGCAAGCAAACCTCCCTGCTCCCTTCAGTGCATGGCTGCCGGCCGCCATCTTGGCTGACAGTTAATTTGCATAAGGATACGCTGATTAGCCAATGGGAAGGGTAGCGGTCGTACGCCAATTACCATGTTTCTCTTTTATTAGTGTAGATGCTCTGGATTGATGCTTAATTGACACTAATTATAATGTTTATTCATCTCTGAAACATGTTTTCTCCAGCCCTCTTGTCTGAAGTGGGTTGGAGAGGCAGCATGGTTTGAGGTTATGAGTGTGGATTTGGGAGCCAGACTTATTGGTATTGAATTCTGGTCTTGGCATTTGCTAGCTGAATCACTTTGTGCAAGTTATATCACTCTGTGCCTCTGTTTCCTCACTTGTTATAATAGTACTTGATTCATAGGGTTGATATATTAATACGTGTTAGGTTCTTAGAATAGAACCAGGAACAAAAATGACAGCTTTTATCTTTTATTTTTTCTTAGCCTGGAGACAGAGCTAAGGATGCTTGAATTTCAAAGTCCTTGAGTTTTTAGCTTATACCATCCAAGATACTGTTAAACTAAATCAAATGGAGACAAGGACTCCTAGGACTTCCCCAGAGGGCTTCCCTTTATAAAATCCTGAAGCTTTGGCACCTCCATCCATATATTTACTCTATCTGAATACCTCCTTGAGCTTATATCTAGTCTTTGATCTTGGCTCAAAGTTCCAGAAAAAAGGTGATCCAGTCTAATATTTGAGTGCTATATATTCTTTCTTCTAAGAAAACTCTCTTCTACATGTATCATCACCCCTTCAAAGTTTTCAATCTATCATCCTGTATTGATTCTGAAACCCAAGGTTAACTGACTATTTATATTAGTCAATGGTAGCTTTGGCTCTGAGAACACATAACCCCCAATTCAGGTCATGTCCTAGTTAATTATGCTGTCTCCTATTCAACTTTGTATTTCATTACTTCCCTTTAATGTGGAAAGTCTTTTCTAGTTAAGTTAGTATTTTCTTTTCTTATAAAATGCACTCTTTGACTTTTTGAAGGGTATTCCCATGACCAAACACATTTTACACTATTTTAGTACATAATTTAATATTTTCTTCTTTTCCCTGTAACACCTACATGAAGCCTACTCAGACCAACAACATTGTAACATTCTTCATTTTCTGAAGTCGCTCAGCCCTTGATTGCTATAAATTTCTATTTCATAAATTTTATTTAATATGGAAATGTAATAAATGTTTATTGAATGACTGAAGATACCATGATAAAGATTGACTAGAAAAAACAGTGTATTCATTAAGCTTCAGAGTTACAAAAACTATTTTCTTCCATGGAGACCCCAGTTTGTGGAACAGGAACTCCAGCAAAGCCATTTTCATTGACGTAGTCTTCACTCATTTCCTTGATCTGTGTGTGATGGTGGAAAGAATACAAAATTAAGATAAACTTGGATTTTCTGATCAATGATGATTCCTTTTCTTACATCTGGGTCGTATAGTGTCTAAGGAAACCAAGTAGTATAGTGGGCAACAAGATCCATTACTTATAATGATCAAATCAGCAATCCTCTGAACTATCTGAGGTTTAAGCAGCACTGTCCTCTCCAAATAAATGCAGTTTTCTATAATAAGTTACACCATGAGCAATATGATGTCTATGAAGAGTGTTGAGCCAATATTTTATGGAGGAGATTTGAGGAACAAAACAAAGGGGTTCTGACTGCATTTGGAAGGAGTGTGAATTACTTACCTTTGCTGCAAGGAGCATTGTACTCAGCAATTGCAAACTCATCTGCATAAAAACAAAATCATTAGGTGAAGTGAGAGAGATAGCAAACATTTATGGGATATAGGTTAGTGAAAGAATATTATGGGAGAAATTGTATTTTGTCAGAAACATCAGCAGCATTCATTTGATGCATTCCTGGCTGCCTTATATTGTTAACTTTTCAAATACAGTACATTATGTTTCCTTTACTCTGTACTCCTGAAGGGACAGTTCAATGTTGAACTTATTTAAATAAAATATTGTTATATAGTTGAATTAGCTGAAGAAAAGGGAACTAAATATCTTACAGATGTTTCGTATTAATTGCTTTATTTACATTATAGGCAGTTTCTATAATGTATGTATAGAAGGCAAAGAGAGGAGAATCAGATTTGATAAAGACAAAACGAAGTGCTAAGAACTATTAATGTAATGAATTTCCCCTACATGTTTCTGAAATCTAAATTTCTGTGATCAGGAATTTAATTTGTGTGTAAAAATTGCTCACACTCACCCGTCTCATAGTAATCGTAGACTTTCACTATGGCTGGTTGGAGATCTCTTACTGGGATATCTTGGAGAACCGTGAAGGACAAGCTCAGAGTCTGATTTGTCACCTAGAAAGCAAAAGGGAATTAAATGAGCTTTCTTCTCTTTTCTTTGAATGACTTTAAATATTCATTTGTTTGGGAGAAAAGCTCTTTTTAAATTATTATTATTATTTTTATTTTTGCTCAATCATCACCAGAGGATATTTATTTTCCCATTGATTTTTAGAGAGATTGGAAAGGAGGTGGAGAGACACAGAGAGAGAAACATTGATGTGAGAGAGACACATCGATTGGTTGCCTCCCTCATGCACACTGAACAGGGCCGGGCATCGAGCCTGCAACTGAGGTACGTGCCCTTGACCACAATCAAACCTGGGATCCTTCAGTCCACAGGCCAATGTTCTATTCACTGAGCCAAACTGGCTAGGGCAAAACCCCATAAAAAAATCAACTAACGGGGACCTTAACTTGTGCAGAAAGCTCCCCAATTGTTCTTAAACAAATAAAACAATTCATATATCCCCATCAATGTTTTGTTCATAGCAGTGAATGATATATGATTTTTATTGGTTGGATAGCTATGTTTATTTTTGAATATCCAGAAATTTGGCACCATTTAATTTCTCTATCTTGCAGAAATACTTGTGTTGACTCAAAAAGGAATATAAAAGGTCAATAATTGTAACCTTAAGTTTCATAAATTTGTAAATTATAATATTCATCAATCTATAAATAAATAAACTATGTATAACACATAAATATAAAATTATTGTGGCTTATTGGTGGGATGATCTATTTATTTCATGGCCCAAGTCCTTGCTGAGATTGACAGTACTTTCCCCTTTTATATTGTTGATGTATTATTGATATAATAATTGACAAACCCCATGGTACTTCCTTCCATTACTCAGAATAACTTGAAGGTATAATAAGCATATTTGGCAGAGAATTTCTTGCTTATAAAGTCCTAGAAATATGAATATCCAATATTATAATAAGCCATTTCTTTTCATAGCCCTAGATGAAGTATAAATAAAGAAGAGAACATGTACTGGAATTCATGCTAGAATTCTCAAATATTTAGCATAGAAGTGATATCTCAAAAATGCCTTCATTCATTTCCTAGATATCTCCCTTAGGAGGATTATCTCTACTAGAGGCCCGGTGCATGAATTAGTGCACCAGTGGGGTCCCTTGGCCTGGCCTGTGGGAATGCCTGAAACCGGTTCTCCAACATCCCCTGAGGGGTCCTGGATTGCAAGAGGGTGCAGGCCAGGCTGAGGGACCCCACCGGTGCACAATCAGGGCCGGGGAGGGACACGGGAGGTTGGCCAGTCCGGAAGGGACTGCAGGAGAGCTCCAGGGTGTGTCTGGTCCATCTTGCTTAGTCCCAATAGGCAGGAACCCAGCAGCAAACTAAGCTACCAGTTGGAGCATCTGCACCCTGGTGGTTAATGCATGTCATAGTGAGTGGTAGAGCAGCCTTAGCATATCAGCATATTGTTCTTTGATTGTTTAAACAGAAGACCGGGCGACTGGACACTTAGCATATTATGCTTTTATTATATAGGATTTTTTGCAACTAGAGTGGCAGGACTCTCACCTTATCTAGGTAAATCAAAACATGGTTGTTGCTGACTTCTGTTCGGCTCACATCATCAGATCTTTCAAGCTGAAGAACATGAAGACATTGCAAATGTTAATAAACAGAAGAAAGCCCCTGGGAAACCCAGAGAAAAGAATTTTTATTACCAAATTAAATTAAGCCTGAGGATATCATTTCTTCTAATATCTACACTAATAAAAGAGAAACATGCAAATTGGTGTCACTCTGCTACCCTTCCCATTGGCTAATCAGCATATCCTTATGCAAATTAACTGTCAGCCAAGATGGCGGCCGGCAGCCA